CGGAGATACGCGACGAAGAAGTAGAATCGTAGGAGAAGGTAGTGGTCGGTAAAAGGTGGAGGTGGAAGAGGAGAAGGAGAGACACAACGTTGTGGTCGTACAACAGTGGTAGTAGTGATAGCAATAGTAGTAGTGTGTAGTAGCCACCGCGTTGCGGACGGACGACGTGTTCCCTCTGTGTATTAATACGTACGCGTGTGTGCATGCGCGGACGCGCGCGCGTGGTAGGTTGGCTGGCTCGGTTATACGCGACTCGGCTGGTCGCGGGCGGTTCAGTTGAGCAACCGAGTCCGTACACGCGCGCAACGACGAACGGTGCGGTGCGGTGTACGGTGTGTAGTGTACGCGCGCGACCGAGAGAGCGAGGAAAGATTCATCGATAGTGAAGGCGGTGGGGGACAAAGGGAGGCACTGCGAAGCGGATCATCGCGACACGTCGAGACGCGGCGACGGCGATGTCAATAATTCGGTGCCGGCTCGCTGCTCGCTCGCGTTTCCGACCTGCGACGACGACGACGACGACGACATTGTCGTCGTCGTCGTCTTCTTCATTGTCGTCATTGTCTCGGCTATGCTGTTCTCCCGGTCGGTAAAGACCCGCGTACTGCAGCCGTGTCCGCCTCACTTCGTGACGCGACGTGACGCGCTTCACGTGTACGCGAAAGTGCATCGGAAAACAGAAAAAGACGACGAGTTGCCTCGCTACCACGCTGGAACACGACGCAGCACCGAGAGGGTAGGTAGCACCGTTCATGCACGGCACCCGGTAATTCGCGCGACCTCGCGTACACTTGAGTCTCTTACCTCCCCTGTAGTAGTGTGTATTACTATGTACGTTTATCGCGAGTGCAAGAGTGAAACCGGGCGAAGCCTTCTGCGAGCGGCGGGGTATCGGTGGAGTAGCGCGGCAGGAACTATGAAACGTGCAGCAGTGTGAATGCGTGTGCATCTGTGTGTATGCTGCTGTCGTTCTTTACGTGAGTGAGCTCTCCTCGGATGTGCAGTGGGCTCTGCGTTGGTGTCGCGTGTATGTGTGTGTATATACACGTGCGTGCGCGCTGCCTCCTACTGGCCTCCCCCGGCCTCGCGTGCGTACGTACGCTGTGTGTGTGTGTGTGTGTGCGCATGCAAACGAGCGAGCATGTGTCAGTGACTCCCGGTGTGCCCACACTGGGTGGGAAGCGAGCGTGCGGAGTAGTTTCGTCGCATGTTACGAACATCCACTACCTGTCCTAGGAGTCGTACTATACGACGCCTATATCGTCTCCCGTCTATTTATACGACGACCATACACGACTCGTACTCTTCCCTCCTTGCTGCCCCTTGCTCTTCCTTCGTCTTTCTTCCTCCACAGTCTTCCCCTTCCTCCCACCTTCTTTCTCGCTGCCCCTCCTTGGCATGCATTAATTCCTTCCCCACCACCACTACTACCACCACCACTACTACCACCACCACCACTACTACCACCACCACCCCACTACCACCACCACCACCACCACACCACTACCACCACCACACTATTACTATCATCACTACCACCAGCACCTTCGTTCCTCCGGTATATCGGTTCCTTTTTTCTTTTTCCCTCGCTCTCGTGTACTCTCCTCTTCTCTCGCTCTCTTTCACTTTACTCCTTCTTTCTCTCGCTCCTACACCTTTCCCCTCCACGCGCGAGTACGTCTTTCTCCTCCTCCGTGTCTCTTCCTTCGTCCCGTAACGACATCCACGAACATGAGCGAGTGAGTCGGTCCTCCTCGCTCTCTGCCGTACTCTTACGTACACGCGGAATGCGCCGCCAGGAATTCTCCCTCACAATGGATTTATTGTGTTAGTGAGAGCGGCGCGCGAGCGCGTACGGCGGTGGTGCGCGCGCGCGCGCGGTTCTCGGCACGCTGCGAGAGAGCGAGAGCGAGAGCGGGCGGACGGACGGACGGACGGACGGACGCACCGAGGAGCGAGCGAGCGAACGAGTAAGTGAGTGAGCGAGCGAACGACCGGACGGCTCGAAGGAAGGAACGTATGCGCGCGGGACTTGACTCCGAGAGAGCGCCGAGCGATCGCCGAGTCGAGTCAAGATGGAGCTGCTAGACGCGCCGGGACTGCATGAATTCCACGGTTCCGACACGTTCCTCCGCCTCCTGGCCGGCGACCGTCTTCCGAGTGCTCTCGTCACATAAAAATCCGGAACCGCCGCGTACGCCGACGAGAGGAGAGGAGAGGAGCGGATACCTCTTCCGAGCCTTCACACGGACTGCCGACGTTCCTGCGCCGTAAGAAGTTCGGACGGTAACAATCGCCTCTCGATCTCGACGGCCTTTCGCTATCTTTACGCCGAATCCCGACAGTGCCGTAGCAGTGTACCGCCGCTCCGTCTTTGCGTCTCTTCCGTCGAAGAGAATGGTCGCGTTGCAGTGCGGTCTCGGCCAACAGTGCTCACATCATCCCTTTTTCCCTTCTCTCTTTCTCTCTTGTAACAACGGTGTTTTTTGGTGTCGTGCTCACAGTTCGTTGCCGTTCGAATCCGCTCGCGTTTCTACTCATCGTGTTTCGGTTCCTCGTGTTGTGTGTTTCGCTGAACGTTCTCTGTGGCGCGATGGTATCGCATGATAATCGCGATTGCATATAGCGCGTGCAATGTACCTCTTTCTTTTCTTTCACTCCTCCCCGTCTTTCTATTTCTCTCTCTCTCTCTCTCTC